TCTGTGTCCTGCTTGTCACAGCTTCCCATGGGATTTGCGGCCATAGATCTCTGAGAGGGTAGCTTTCCCTCCATGACCCAGATAGCTACAGCCCAACAGAACAATGCAATTGCTGTCCAGCACTGTGAGGCATGGTGACAAAACTTCTACAGGAGCTGAGACAAGGCTATAGAATTCACAGGCAAACCATAGCCAAGAAACTCATCACATGAACAAATAAATGTAGAACTCTATCTTTCCACTGTGCTGTCCCTCAGCCATTTCTTTGTGCACACAACACACACAAAAACAATAAAGTAATGAAGCTATTTCTCATACAAGATGGGAAAGCAGAGAGAGAGAGTGTGTGTGCTCGCAATTGGTATTTCTATTTTTAAATATTTGAAGGACATGCAGATAATGATATGGCCATATAAAAAGAAAGTGCACCTCACATCTGAGTTTACTAATGTCCCTGGCCAACAATAGCCCTTCAGCTCCATGGTTCACCCACAGTACATCCAATTCTATCGAAGAACCTCAGCTTGTCTGTTCCTTCAGTGTCCCATTTCCTTCAATGTAGAAAGTAAAGGTTGCCACCCACTTCGTTTTTGGCTTCCGTGTCCAGGTGAAATATTAAGGTTGCCAGATACCCAGTTTTTGGCTATCTGGCAACCCTAAATGGCACCCAAACCAAATATCCGGTTACCATGAGATGAGGGGAGGCACCGGGCCATTATCTTGCACCTACTCCTGCTCAGCTCCTACCTGCAGGCAAGCTCCTTGAGATGATCTAGTGAGCAATAGGGGAAGGGGAGAGGAGCCTGGAGGGGCAGGGAGAGATGGAATATGGATGGGGCCTCGAGAGAAGAGGTGAAGTTGGGGCAGTACTTGATGAGGAGAAGCAAGGGAGGAGTAGGGCTTCGGGAGTCCAGTTACCAGCAGTTAGAAAGATGGCACCCCAAGTTATCAGAAATTGGAGCAGAGCAATGGCCATACTGGATCAGGCGAAAGGTCCACCTAGTTCATTATCCTACACCCTTAACAGAACTGCCTAACCTCTGGCTTTTGGTCAAAGTGACCTTTTATTCAGGTCACTGGCAATTCATGGAAGCTTCCAGCTAGTCTAGCACCTGGCCAAGCTTTTTTTTTCTTTGGAGTCAGGGATGACTATTTCCTCTTAGCCATCACTAAAAGTGGTTGTCTCCTCTGGCTGCTGGAGACAGTCATCTAAAGAAGCCCTATCCTTGGCCTAGCCCCACAGTGGAGAATAAATGCACAAGGGGTTTGGTTTGGGAAGGATGAGGGCCCCACGGAATCACAGGGAGAAATACAAGAGCTGGAGGAGCACAGGCTGTAAACCAAAACTCCTGGAGGAACCCCAGGGCAGACACAGGACTGCTGGAGATGGTGCACAGAGAGAGCAGTCTGTGGCTGGCAGCATACAAAAGAAAATACAAGCTCATCTCCCCCTGCTGGTAGAAGGCAGCAAGTGGCAAGTTTCTTAAAAAAAATCTTTACTTCCAAATGCCAGTCTGGGGAGGCAGTGGGAGTTCACTGGGGAGGTAGCATCTCCATTGTGTCCTTCCAGTCACACGCTATACATTCAGCCATGTGCACTGAGGTGTTGGAGAATATTTAGCATCACTGTCTCTCATCAATTACTTGAACAGTTCTTTTGGAGCAGGGGATACTCACTGGGGAAAAGCTCATGCCAAACATTTGTGTGCCCAGTCTTTCAAAAAAATAAAAATAAAAATCTTTCTGTTCACCTTGTAATTCCACTCCTAAAACAGAGCTGCAAGATCTTAACTTACTCGCCTCCCCCTCAAGCCCCAGGAAACAAGACTAGCCCACACTACCTACTAGCCACCTGCAAAATTCTATTTAAACAATTAGGGCTAAATCCTCAGCTAGCGTATATCAGCATAACGCCATTAAAGTCAACAAAGTTATGCCAATCTATACCTGCTGAGGATCTGGCTATAAAATTTGAAATTAAGGAAACACAGAAACTATCATTGTTTCTTTTTTCAATAGTATAACTGCAAAAGTGTTAAACTGTTCTTACCTCCAGTCTATATTAAAAAAAAAAAAAAAAAAAAAAAAAAAAAGACTGCAGAATTGCTCCATTTTTCATTCAGGAGAGAACTGACAGGGCCCAGCTACTGTTTAAACCTCTGGATAATATTCAGAGGATATAAGTTTACAATCTGAGAGACGACATGTCTGCAAAACAGGATGGATGTCACTGGCATGAATGTCACCTGGCCATGATTTCTGTTCTTCGTGTATCTTTGGTACACCCAGCATGAAGGTAAAACACCTATAATTTTAGATGATATTAGCAAATACGTTCAAAATTTATTTGGGTTGCCTCAATTTTTGGCACATACTGCACTCAGTTCTACAGATGAAAGATTCTGTATTTAGTGCATAATTATAGCCTTATTCATTATTAAATAATTACCAAATAGTTACTTTGATCATCTGAATTTTTTTTTAAAGTTATCTGTATCACTAGAATGGATTTGGGTCCCGCCATTAAAATGCCAAAGATGCCAGTTCAGATAGAACTTGCCTGATCAGACAGGGAAACCTCTGCACTATGCAGCTTTCAAAAGTGATTTTATGACACACTAACATCAATTTGCCTTCAGCCATTATATCATTTTTTACCTAAATGATACACTGACCCAAGACATCCATAACATTTCTCCTGGATCTTATTACCTGGATGTAATATTGCAAATTGCTCAAAGGCTATGCAAACCCTTTATACCATCGAGATTAAAAGGCATTAATTTTTCATGCATACATTTGTAAGCTGCTGATGAACAACAGCACTGATCTGCCACGGTGTTGGTTCAGGACTGGCACACTGCTCCATGTGAGAAGACACTATGGACACTGTACGTAATTCAGTATCTGAACACAGCTACAGCACCACAGCTTTAACATACCACAGAACTCATCTCCTCACTTGACTACAATCACTAGGGCTATGTCTACACTGCAGGCTTCTTGTGCAAGAACTGTTTTGCACAAGAGTTCTTGTGCAAAAGTACTTGCGCAAGAGCACATCCACACTGCCATGTGCTTTAGCACAAGAGCATCCATGACAGTGTGAGTGTTCTCTTGCACAAGAAAGCTCTGATGGCCATTTTAGCCATAGGGGTTTCTTGTGCAAGAAACCCCTGTTGCCCGTCCACAGTGCCTTCTTGCTCAAGAGTTCTGGAGCAAGAGGGCTTATTCCTTGTGGGGAGAGGAATAACTCTTGTGCAAGAAGCTCACTTTTCCGACGCTTTACTGTAAATTTGCTTGCGCAAGAACGCACGTGCAGCGTAGATGCTCCACAAATTTTTGTGCAAAAACGACTGTTCTTGAGCAAAAAGCCTGCAGTGTAGACGTAGCCCATCTGAAAGAAGGCTGGAGTTATGTGATGTCTTAAAGAGGAGAAGAGGAGTAATGGCACCATTATAAGCTAGGGAAAATGTCACGAATGACTGTCTCCATAATTGACTCAGGCCAGGTAAAGCTACCATTTCCATCCACTACAACATGACCCTCATCTGTCTTCCTTTAGAGGGGCTGCAGCAGCAGAATAATTACAATACCTAATGTGAAGGGGATGGCGAAAGAAATAATATACTGTAACTGAATAATTCAGAATAAATTATTTAAAAGCCTGATTTGCATCAAAGAATGAACCATTAAGCATTTAAGATGTAACCTACTTTATCTCTTTCTATATCAACAAGAAATAATTTGTGTCAGCCATAAAAAGAACACCTCGTTATGAAAGGCACCTGATGCTATTTTCTTATTCTAAGAAATATGTAAGGCATCTTCAATTCTTGGATTTTATTTTTTTAAGGCCCACTATGACACAACTATAGGGCTGTTTTGGACTTTTTATGCACAATCTGGAATGAGATGCCTATGGGCAAAAGTTTGATGTTTAAAGCTTGTTATGCCTACCAGAAAACCAGAAGACAAGTATTGCAATACTTCATAACTAAAGAAATTCAGTCAAACTCCAGC